AAAAAAAAAAAAAATCAGGAAGGCAGCAATCACTTCAAAAACAAGCCAACAATCCACCCGGAAAGGTGTTAAAATCCGAGGGGAAACAAGGAAGGTGGGGAGAAGGGAGGCTGAAGCTAGCCGGGTCTGTCTTGTGGACCCCTCCTGACAGCGCACCCCCTTGGGGCTCCTCCTCAAGGGAGTGAGGATGGGATGCCTTCAGCCCTCCTTCCCCTCGTGTCCTTGGGTTCGCGCTGCCGCGGGCGACGACTCCAGCGGACTGTCCCCGAGGCCAAGGTGACTTCCTCGCTCCCGCCTGCCTGTCCCACCTCGCCAGACACCATCCCGCCATTAGCGCATCCTAACCCCACACAGTGGCAACTCCCAACCCCGGCTCTTTGCAGCCACTCGGCCCTTGAAAGATGCCCTATACATGAGATGCCTTCTCATCCACAAACTCTGCAAACGGTCTCATATTTCGCAGCTCTTCCCTTTTTTTCTCTCCCGTCACCCCCACCGGCATTTTCTTCTTCCACCAGCTTTTACCGAACTTTTTGGCACTGCTTTGGATTCGAGTCAATTGCAGTCCACGCAACTGGCTGCGGAGAAATCAACCGAGCGGAGAAAGGCGTCCGCACAAGGTTGCAGAAGCGTCTCGGTTTGCATTTCTGTTTGATCCGAAATGGACTCACATCCTGTATGGTGGATGGACTGTATATTGATGATTCCATTCTTCAAGCAGATTAGACATCTCTGTTGGGATTTTTGGTTTTTTGTTTTTTTGTTTTTTTATTTTAAAAGGCACAAACTATAGATATTAGTTGAATGTTGAGGCTTTAACTTTTTCGGTGTCTTTCTACAACTGTGTTCTGTGACTGAATTGTATCGTGTTAATATCAGTACAGACCGTCTCCTCTACGTGACCGTATAATGTTTTTCTCTTCTTGTAGTCTCTATGGTGTGTCTTTATGGAGTAATAAGGTTCTCACGGGTTCAATTCCTTTGTGTTTAGAGAGACCACGGTTCAGACAATGGTATATATTTTTGTTATCAGGTGCATGTCTGTCTGATTTCTTTTTTCTTCTTGTTGGGACTCTGTTTGTGAACATAAGCGTTATAAGTTATGTTTCAGATTTTCAAATTTATTTATATGTGTTATAATGAATGCTTCTATTTAAAAGGGAAATATTTCTACATGTGCATATAGTTTTCCAAGAGTGTACCATTAACTTGATTGTTGATAATAAAAACAAAAAGCAAGTCTAGCAATTGAACTCTTCTGACTTTTCCTTGATTCGTTTTTGTTCTGTTTTCTTAATTTAATTTTAGAAACGGTAAAAGTGGACAGAAGAAGAAGAAATTGTACAAAATATCCAGAAGCCTCCGAGGCTCTGGCAACCCAAGCCTGCTGGAAGTCTAAATTCACTCAGCAAAATTCAGCCAATATAAAATTTAGTACTTGGGATAGCAGGCAAGAGACTCTGGCCCATGTTTATTTGTCTCTCAGTCACGGAGCACGAAAGGATACCAGTGTGTTGATAAAAATTTTCACATGGGTGCTTAGGCTGAGGCCAGAGGGCTCAGTGGCAGTGAAAGCAGGTTTCAGATACCTGGCTTCGAGAAAGACTCAGAAGTGAGGATTTGTGTATATGTGCTTTCAGGACCAATGGCATCTGGTGAAGTCCAAGTGGTCCAGCTTCCTTAAGCCCTGCAGAATGCCAGCAGCCCGGAAGGTCTCTGTGTGAGCAAGTGACTCAGGATGGCTGTTGGCCTGAGAACACCTCTGCAATGTTGGTGTGTTTGGAGAAATAACACACGGGCAGCCACTGAATTAGTGAGCGCTGGCGTGTAGCAGTTTTGGCTTTCCATGCATTATCTCATCTACCCCCCAAACAACACCCGGAAGCAGGTACAATTCCTATATTTATTTTTCTTTTAAACAGATGAGATGCTAAGGCAACAGAAAAGTTAACTTGCTCAAGAGGCTCCTGTGTGTGAGTGATGGGGCTGGTCTTTGAACCCAAGAGATCTGATTCCAGAGCCTGCCCATGAACTACACCAGTGGTTCCCAAAGTGTTGTCCCTGGACCAGCAGCACCAACATCACTTGGGAACTTGTTTGACACACGAATTCTTAGACTCCATTCCAGATCTACCGAGTCAGAAACTCTGGACTCGGGGGCAGGTATATATGTTTTAATGAGTTCTATGGAGGATATGAGAACCACTGAATGATACTTTAAGAAACCCAAACAGGAAGGTTCCAGAATTGGGACTACTTTGGGAACAGGTGAGTGTGTGGTGGCAGTGTGGGGTGGGGGGGGAGGGCTGACAGCTTCAGTGATCCCCTTTTAGAAGGAAGGAATCATCACCACAGCCCCCAAATGGCATTCTGCTTCCTCCTTGAGCTCTTTGGTTGGGCCACCTTCTTCAAGCAGAGGCCTGTGTGTTCCTTCTGTGGCCTTATCAATAGATGACTCAGTTCCCCTCATCTGAGAGGAGCCTGCAGTCTGCTGGCTCTGGTCTGAGGATTAGCTGCTGATCTGGCTTGAATTTATTAGAATTTTTCACCTTCTGCATCCAAATGGGGCTTGCATCAAATCAGGCAGGTTTCAGTTAGAATTTTCTAAATATTTGGATCTTATCTAACTTCTAACAGTTTTTCTAAAGGGCTTTTTTTTTTTTTAAGATTTTATTTATTTATTTGACAGACAGAGATCACAAGTAGGCAGAGAGGCAGACAGAGAGAGAGGGTGAAGCAGGCTCCCCGCTGAGCAGAGAGCCCGATGCGGGGCTCGATCCCAGGACCCTGGGATCATGACCTGAGCTGACGGCAGAGGCTTAACCCACTGAGCCACACAGGTGCCTCTCTAAGGGGCTTTTAAATAGTCTTTCTTAAAAACAAAACAAAACAGAAAAACCTATCTCTAAATGCCCTATACAAACTCCCCAAGACAATTTTCAACAAACAATGACATTAGTTGTGCTGGTCTAAAATGCCAACAATTGCTAGAGGCCTTAGACCCCAGTCCTCCATCGTAAATGTAATTTACAAGGTCTGGGAGAGGCAAAAGGAAGAGCAGGACTTTATAAATGAAAAGAACACTCAAAGCCCAGGTAACCAAGTCCTAGGCTTGGCTGGAGGAAAATTAGGCTTCCCTTAGGCATTGAGGGACCCCAAGCAAGCCTCTGCAAGCTGATGGGTGGAACAGTGGGGCAGGCATTCTGGAGAAGGCAAGACCAGGGGAAAGAAACGAAATAAGAAATAGAGGAAGAAAGGAGGAAGAGAACGAAGAGGAAAGACAAATAGCCAAAGAAGAGTCTCTAGAAACCTCAGCGAAGGTCCTAGAAATCCTTTCAGATGGGCACAAACTAGATAAGCATCCCCACATCCCCTTCTTTTGGCCTTGACCTGCTTTGAACAACTTATCTCCAGGATAAGGGACGCTGGAGATTAATGAGGAAAATATGCTTCCCATCCCTGCATCACTCTAGCTTCCCAGAGGACTGCATTTCTAATGTCTGGAGGCACCCAGCTTTAGTATTTTAAATATCAACTTCTTTTTAATTTGGGTCACCTCTGCCTCTCATAATGGTCAAAGCAGCAAACTATTAGGAGGCAAGTTTAAGATCAAATGCAAAATAATGCCCCTGTAATATGTTGGAACCTAGTGGCAGGACACTGTGTCTCTGGAGTTGTGTCATTTCCTTGGAGCCCTGCATAGTGTGAACAAGCTCACTTTCACTTTTCCTCTCCTAAAGAATTTGCATTTTGGCTCATCAAGGCATCCTTTTTCCTGGCAACTCTGGGACCACATGTGACTTCACAAAAACTGCATGAGCTGATGCCAGATGGCCGCCTCTAAGCCAAGTCTCTTTCAGGATGGCTGAGTCCGGAAAACCAGAGCGGTTTCGGACGAGAGCAGAAAACCAGACAAATAGTCGCTGTCCACAGCTCCCCTCAGACGCTACTCTGTGGTGACCTCACATCCTTAGGCAAGCAGCCTGTGGCTAGACAGAGATGATCCTCAATTCAGGGGAAAGATCCATGTGCCTGGGAGCCTGATTTTTCAACTACGGATGAGAAGAATAATACAGACCTGTGGGGGTGTTGGTGGGATTAAATACAACGTAAAAGTATCAGCATAACAGGAAGTTTCAGCAAATGTCAGATGTGATCATGATGATGTTGACGGTGATCACAATGATGATGTAACTTCTAGATCTTTCTTGATCTCCCTAGCTCAGGCCTCAGAAGATTAAAAAGAGCCCTCCACTGTCACTGAAGTCAATGGTCCAGGAACACAGAGTGGGAAGAATATGTAAAGATTGGCCTTGGAGAACCTCACTGACAGTGACGGTCATAGCCAAAGGCTGAGAAAATAACTAGCGGTATTTACTGAACGCTCATTCTATGCCGGGCATCTTTAAGCTTACGAGCTTTAAAGCATTTATTTTTTTTAATTTTTAAATTTTTTTAGAAAGAGAAAAAGAGAGCAAATGGACGAGGTTGTGGGGGGGAGGGGTAGAGGGAGAGAGAAAATCTTAAGCAGGCTCCACACCCAGCCAGGAGCCAGACATGATGGGTGGGTGGGTGGATCTCACAACCCTGAGATCATGTCTTGAGCCAAAATCAAGAGTCGGTTGCTTAACTGACTGAGCCTCCTAGGTGCCCCTAAATATTCTCTTCATTTTTTAGAAGAAGGCTCCACACCCAGTGTGGGGCTTGAACTCACAATCCTCAGCATGATGGGTCAGACGCTGTACAGACTAAGCCACCAGGTGCTCCCCAAGCTTTAAAGGATTGAGTCCTCACAACTACCCTATGAGAAAAGTAGTTCCCATTTTTTTCTTAGGAGGAAACTGAGGCATGGAGGGGAGTTAGGTAATAGGGTCAAGGGTACACAGCTAGTAATATTGCAACAGGAATCCAACTGCCGCTGGTTTGCCTCCACAGCCTACTCTCTTTATGGTTTCTGCAAGAAGAAGACTTCATTTCAGCACCGGAGTCACAGATTTCCAGACCTGGAAGGACATCTCAATTTGCAAAAAGACACAGAAAGGGAGGTGAAATTTAGAAGAGACAACAGGAGGAGTGGTGCTGGAACGAGAATCCCAGCCAGATTCTAAAGGAAGTCGGAGGCCTGAAAGGGATACCCAGGAGGAGGGAGAATGTTCTCTGCAAGCCAACATATTCATAGTTCATGGTGTCTTTCTGGTAAGTGAACAAGACAAGGAGTAGCCAGAGGTATGGAACATGAAAGGGCAAAGGACAGTTGCACCTATGAAGTGTGGAACATTGGTCGGTGGTTTGGAATGGATGTTAGGAATGGATGTCTACCTCTAGGCTCATTTATCACTGCCATGACAGATGGATGGCACAAATGGCAAAAGCCCACCTGAGTGCTTAATTTTCCAGCCTTGATTCTAAAGTGAGTATCCACAAAGCTACACAGACAAATGATGACTGAATGCCTTCACCCAGTGGTACTTCCATGTTGGAAGGCAAAGACATGCTACTTCCCTAGGCCAGTAAGGCAGGTTAATGTGAGAAAGCCTAGGCCATGTCCCTATCGCCATGGTAGACATTTTGGATTGTGTTAGTCTTGGCTTAGTTCAGGAGTTCTTAACCTTAGGTCCATGAATACAATTCAAAAAGGATATGAAAAAAATATATATGTACATTTCGTAATTTCTACCGAAATTTACCAATTTCTTTAATGATAAGTGTAGGCCACAAAGCCATCTTCTGTTAGTATCTGTGACTGTCACCGATGGAAATCACAGATATTTTTATTTCATATTAATGTTTTTGAAGCTATTTCAATATATCATTAATATCATTAACTTGAAATTATAGTAATTATTGGACTAGCCACTAGATCTTCTTATTGAATACATTAATAAGAAGCACACACATAAAAGAATCATGTACATGACTATATTACAAATTATGGAGGCAGCCCAAGTGTCCATTGATAGATGAATGGATAAAAAAGATGTGGTTATAAAATAGAGTATTAGTATTATTGAGCCATAAAAAAAAGGAAATCTTGCCATTTACAATGACATAGATGGAGCTAGAGAGTATAATCTTAGCAAAATAAGTCAGTCAGAGAAGGGCAAATCAAATACCATATGATTTCACTCATCTGTGGACTTTAAGAGACAAAACAAATGAGCAAAAAGAGAAAAGAGAGAGAGAGACAAGCCAAGAGACAGATTCTTTTTTTTTTTTTTAAGATTTTATTTATTTATTTGACAGACAGAGATCACAAGTAGTCAGAGGCAGACAGAGAGGGAGAGGGAGGGGCAGGCTCCCCACTGAACAGAGAGCCCGATATGGGGCTGGATGCCAGGACCCTGAGATCATGACCTGAGCCAAAGGCAGAGGCTTAACCCACTGAGCCACCCAGGTGCCCTAAGAAAAGATTCTTAACTGTAGAGAACAAACTGATGGTCACCAGAAGGGAGCCAGGTGGGGGATGGGGGAAACAGGTGATGGGGATTAAGGAAGACACCTGTCGTGATGAGCACGTGGTGTTGTATAGAATTGATAGAATTGCTAAATCACTATATTGTACATCTGAAAACAATATAACACTGTATGTTAACTATACTGGAATTTTTAAAAAACCTTAATAAATAAAAAAATACATATTTTTGATAATTGTATTTTAATCAGCTTCTTTTTTAATCCTGTGCATTTTAGGGGTGCCTGGGTGGCTCATTGGGTTAAGCCTCTGCCTGCGGCTCAGGTCAAGATCTCAGGGTCCTGGGATCCAGCCCCACATCGGGCTCTCTGCTCAGCGGGGAGCCTGCTTCCTCCTCTCTTTCTACCTGTCTCTTTGCCTACTTGTGCTCTCTCTCTGTCAAATAAATAAATAAAATCTTTTAAAAAATATCTTATGCATTTTAGTTTTTACATTTAAAAATGTTATCTATTTTTTTTATTAGGCTCCATCCCCAGTGTGGAGCCCAACCTGGCGCTCGAACTCAGGACCCTGAGATCAAGACCCAAGCTGAGATCAGGATGAGATGCTTAAACAACTCAGCCACCCAGGAACCCCGAAAATGTTATCTTGAAAGGGTGATATGGACATCGCCAGACTGACAAGGGATCTATGTCACACAAAAAAGCTAAGAGCTCCTGGCTAATTGATGAGAACAGGTCGTGCCTCCCACTCTGTGAAGCTCTGACTTTCAGAATCTCTCATGTAATCCATTTATTCTACAGAAGGAAGAAATCATAGAAGATAGAATAAAACAACCCCCCAAAGCTGAACGAAGAAAGCTATAAGGATTTTAAAGACCACTGGCTGAGTGGTGGAGACAGAGACAGCCCAGGAGAAGAGGAGGTGATTCCAAGGTTTTAGTGGGACTTGAATGTGGCCTACTATTTGCTGAGTGTTTACACAAAATAGGCACAGTGCTGAGCACATCCCAAAGCAGCCCCCTATGAGGAAGGTGGTGCTTTCCTTCTTTACACTATTGAAGTTCAAAGCCAATCACTTGTCCAAGCCACGCTGCTAATGGCAAAGTCAGGACCCAACCCAAAGACAAGCCTCTTAACCAATATGCTAAAAAGGTTTAAAAAAAAAAAAAAAGAAAAAGAAAGAAGCAAAGAAAGAAAGAAAGAAAGAAAGAGAGAGACAGAGAGAGAGAAAGAAAAGGAATTTTTTATTCGCCTGTCACTCACTTTATTTTTTTGCCTGAACCTGAAGCTATTTGGTTTGTTAAAATACCCTAAGGCCAAGTGATTGAGCAAGGATGTTGCTTTAGCCATGTGTTTCATGTCAAAGACCTCCCTCTGGGGAAAAGTCAGACATCAAGGGGGAAATAAAGTCTTCTTACCTGGACATAATTTCATTAGGGAACCAAATGGATGGCTGTTTGCTCTTTGCTACCCGATGATTGAAGCAGTGATTTCCAGAACAGGAAGAGCCTGGGTGTAAAATTAATTTCTCAGAGCCCCCAGCAGCATGGCCACCCCAGGCAAGAGTGGAGCGTAAGCCCAGCATGTCGGAGGCCCAAGGGCTTGTACCTTTAGAGTCCTTACCATGTGTTAGACACACTGCTGTTGGGCATTTGTTTGTCTTACAGGTTTTCAAGACTCCTGAGGTAGATACGATTCTCATCTTACAGGTTAAAAAGAATCCAAGTAACAGAAAGGCTGAGCTCCTTGCTTAAGATCCCAGAGCTGCCGAGTGCTCCGAACCCCTGTCCATTTGACCCTAAAGCCTCATTCTCTTGGGGGTTCCAGAGTCTGGAAGATTCACTGAGATGACAGGCTAGAGCCTGGTACTACTGCCTGTAGCCTGCTACTCACACATTAAGCCAATGTCCTGAAGGGTGGGAAGAGTAATGAAAATGTTCCAGAATTTGATCATGATGATGGCTACCCAGCTTTGTGAATATACTAAGTCCTACTGAATTAAAATTTTTTTGTCCTTTAAATTTTTTTTTAGGATTGATTTATTTACTTGACACAAAGAGAGAGAGAGAGAGCACGAGCAGAGAGAGCTGGAGAGGGAGAAGCAGGCTCCCCGTTGAGCAGGGAGCCCAACCTGAGACTCGACCCCAGGACCCTGAGATCATGAACTGAGCTGAAGGCAGACGCTTAACCCACTGAGCTACCCAGGCACCCCTTGAACTGTATACTTTAAAAGGGTGAGTTAACTTTATGGTATGTGAATCATAACTCAATTTTTTTTACTGAATAAAACTGACATTTAACATTGTATAAGTTTAAGGTACATAGTATGCTACTTTGATACATTTATATATTATGATTGCTGATACAGTGATATTTATCACATCACTCACAATAATAATTATAGTACAATATTATTGTTATATTCATTAT